TTTCAAGACACACAAGTCACAAAACAGAAGACAACCATGCCTGAGAGACCAGAAGCAAATTGTCCCAATGTACTGCCTATGACAGTTCTCTGGCTGTGGCACTTGAGGGGGAATTGAGGCAGAGCCTGCAGACTCCCTGAGTCGAGGAGATGGAGCTGAGAGTCCAGGGGACCAAAGCAACCAGAGTTCGTAATACAGAGCACCAGAGAGGAGAGAACGCACAGTGAGAGGACCTCAGAAATCTGCATAGAACCCTCCGTGCATGCATCAACGACACATCATGTGAAGAAACTACCTGAAGTGGAGGAAAGAACCACCTGAAAGGACTGGAAGAAAAAAGGCCTAGTTCTCACACAGGACTGGGAACAGTACCTACAGCCACCAGTCAGACTAAAAAAGCTCATAATTCACGGCACATGGGGTGAAGTGCTCAGGAGGGTCTTGCCTCAGCAGTGAGGAATGACTAGTCATAAACTGTGCTGCTCTAGACCCACCTAGCGAATTGTAAAAGTTAGACGTGAAAGAATCACAATGTTTCCAATACTTAACTATATCCAAGATCAAAACTGGAGATATATAGGGATACAACATATCCAACTCCAACAAGGTAAAATTCACAATGTCTGATATCCAATCAGAGATTACCAGACATGCAAAAAATCAGGGAAACGTGACCCATAGTGAGGCCAACCAATGAAAACCAACTCAGAAGTAACACAGATGTTAGAATCAGCAGAGAAAGACCTTAGCAGGTATTAGAACTGTACTCCCAACATTCAAAAAGTTAAGTAGACATGGAGAATATTCAAAAGACCCAAATAAGACTTCTAGAGATGAAAACTATGTCTGAGATTTTAAAATACAATATTTTAAAATTGGATTAACAGTGGATTAGACAGTGCAGAAAAAAAGATCAGTGAACTTGAGAAAATAGAATTTTTTTTTTTTTTTGGGGTATGCGGGCCTCTCACTGTTGCGGCCTCTCCTGTTGCGGAGCACAGGCTCCGGACGCGCAGGCTCAGCGGCCATGGCTCACGGGCCCAGCCGCTCCGCGGCATGTGGGATCTTCCCAGACTGGGGCATGAACCCGCGTCCCCTGCATCGGCAGGCGGACTTTCAACCACTGCGCTACCAGGGAAGCCCAAATAGAACTTTTAAAAATAAGAAGAGCATCAGTGAACTGTGGGACAACTTCAAGCGAAGATGGACCAGCTTGCCTTGAGCTTTCACTCTTCCAACCCTCCCCTTTCAGAACCTCAAAGCCAGAGAATTACAACCAAGGGTGGTTTTGTCTTCCCACTCGTGCTTCAACTGAAAGGGTTTTTAAGGGGTATGAGTGTGTGTGTGTGTGTTACATTTTTTAAATGTTTCATTTAAAGTGAAATACACCTATAGATAATTACACATATCATGAGTGTCCAGCTCACTTATTATCAAAAATATTTATAAAAACCTTTTATTTTGGAATAATGTTAGATTTGCAGAAAAGTTTCAGCAATAGTACAATAATGTTAGATTTGCAGAAAAGTTTCCTGTACTCCCTTCACCCAGTTTCTACTCATGTTAATGTCTTACATAACTGCAGTACAATTAACATGGGTACATCACTATTAACAAAACTACATTCAGATTTTGCCAGGCTTTTTCCATTATTGTCCTTATTCTTTTCCAAGATCCAATCCAAGATACTATGTTGCATCTTGTCCTGAAAGGTTTAAAGTTGAAACCCTGAACCAAAGGGTTGCCTTATGAGGAGTTAGCAATCAGGAGTGATCAATAGTGGCCCTGTGGTTACACTGTCCACTACCCACACTTTATATTCACAGGGATGGATGGAGACTAGAACTCTTTGTTGGAAATCCCCCAATATACATTACCAGAGTAGCATGAGTTCACTGGGAAAAAAAAATAGACATCTGAAAAGAAAGACTACAAAACAAAATTACAATAAAAATGGCAAATGGAACACTGTGGGCTATATGAAACAGAAGAATACACCAAGAATTTAAAATAAACATAATAAATATTTGGATAATGAGACAAGGACAACAAATTATTTTAAAGCCAAGTGGAAATATTCACATTAGATCAGATAGATGCAGATAAATGATAGGACAGGTTTAGCTGAAGAATATATTAGTGAACTGAAAGATTAAAATGAGGAATTCTTCCAGATGTCAACAGAAAAAAAATTTTTTTAAAGAAACACAAAAGAAAAAAAATCTAAGAAATAAAGAGATTAGATGTAAAATTTTCAACATCCAAATAATAGGAGTTCTAACGAGCGAGGAAACAAAAACAGAAAGGTGAAAATATTTGAACAAATAAATGGACATTAATTTTCTAGAATCAAGGAAAGATGAAGGACGTCACATTGAAAGTAGACAGAGAATGAAAACCCATACTTAGATTGTAGTAATATTTTTTTTAATTGTCCCAAAGACAAAGGTAAAATTTGAAAAGACTTCCAAGCGTAGAGAATACCTACCTAGACAAAGCAGAGAAATACCTAGAGAAAGAGTAGACTATCTACAGAGAAGCATTAGTCTTTGCAGAAGTGTTGGATACAAGAAGATGAAAGTAATTTTTTTTTAACTGAAAGAAAATAATCTGGAAGGTAGAACTTTATATCCAAAAATTGGCATTAACATATGAGGGGTAGTAAAAAACATTCTCAGGCATACAAGGTACCAAAAGGGTTACCACACATTGAAAATAATTTTGGAAAAAGTACTCAAAATTTTAGACACATAAATCTAGGAAGGTAATAAAAAAAATCTAGCATGATTGAAAAAGAAAAAAAAATCATTTTCATATAATGATGGCATAGGAAGGGGGTGGGGAAGAAACTGAAGGATATGAGAGCAGACTAGAGTATTTGTCTTTTTAGGGGAAAGACATAAATACTGACAAGTTTAACAGATTAATAGGGGAAATTTTTTAAATCTATATTAGTCTTAAGTTTAAAGCAATCATCAGATGCACAAAATAGAGTATAACTTTTAAACCAGCAGAAGAAAATTCAGTACATCCAGTGATAAGTAAGAATAAAAAGAAATAAAAGAAGACATATAAATGGAAAATATGAAAAAAAGATGGCAACTAAGTTTAAATATATAAAATAAATATAAATGGGCTAACTGTCCCAATTAGAAGAGAAAAAGTCAGACTGGGCTTTAAAAAAATAAAATCCAACAATATGTTATCTACAAAAGACAGTGGTACAAAGAGTTGAAAATAGAAGAATGAAACCCTCCACAGTAATAAATTCGAAAACCTACATGAAACTGATAAATTGTAAAATATAGAAAATGCAATATTGATACAAAAAGAACTTGAATAGACCAAAGAATGTTACAGAAATGGAAACGGTAGCCAAAGACTTTCTCTCTACTTTTCTCCCAAATACCCCAGGCATATTGTATATGTACTATCTTATTTGTCTATTGTCTGAGTCTCCATCTTTGAATGTAAGCCCCATGAGGGCATGGAATTGTTTGTTCATTGCTATATCCCCAGTGCTTTAGAATAATGTTGAGAATGTAGACACCCAGTAAATATTCACTGAATGGAAGGATGGATGGATGAGTAAATGGTTGGACGAAGTGAGTTGAAAATTCAATTCTTAAACTCTTCATCTATACTGAGAATAGAAAAGCTCTGAGAATCAAGGAGATAGAGGATAGGTACTGGGGATTGATTAGGGGAGCACAGCCTAATCAGCCATAGACAATATATAAATGAATTGCATGGCTGTATTCCAATCAAACTTTATTTACAAAAACAAAAAGCTGCTGCATTTGGCTCACAGGCCATAGTTTGCCTGCCCCAATGTAAAGTACCATATTTGCCATTACTAACTTGAGAGGAAATGGAAAACCCAATTGTTTTTATAACAAAATAAGAACTTGAATTAATAGAGTTTCAATTTTCCCACAAAGAAATTATACGTTACAGATGGCTCTCCAGGTGGATCCTCTAAACTTTCATATAACAGATAATTCCAATTATATATAAATTCTTCCAGACAGTAAATAAAGATGAAACTCCTCAACTTATTTTATGAAGCTAATATAGTCTAGATAACAAACCAGACAGGGGGAAAATATGTACAGGCCCCCCACTTCAAACATGTACCCAAATACAAGAATTTTTTAAATACATACATAGATAGCAGACAGACAGCTGGATAGCAAACTTAATTGAGCAATGTATAAAAAATACATCATGATCAAATAGAGGACGGTCCTCTATCTTATCTTTTCCTTAAAAATATAGAATACTTTAACATTAGGAAATCTACTGATGTAATTTACTAGACTGGGAAATTAGAAGGAGAAAATTATATAATCATGTCAATAGGTTCAGAAAAAGAAACATAATGAAGTCAGTCATGAAAGGACTTTGGGAAAAAACACCTTGGGCAAAATAGTACTAGGAGGTAGGTTCCTTAACCTGGTAAAAAGGTAGCTACCAAAAACCTACCACAAACATCATACCTAAAAATGCAAACCTTAAAATCTCTTTTAAATCAGAAAAAGAACAAGAAAATAATCCCCACTTGAACTCCTAGCCAACATTATACTAAAAATAGAAATAAGAGATTTAGGGATAGAAAGTAGGAAACAAAACTGTCATTATTCCAGGTGAGTTTATTATCTTCAAAGAAAATCCAATATACAAAGCATTAGGACTATTAAGAGTAATATATATCATTATAGAAATGTCATACAACAAAATACTATCAGATAAAATGAATGAACTAGATCTACATTATTAATATCAATAAATCTCGCTGTTAGGTGAAAATCAAAAGCCAGTTGAGGACTTCCCTGGTGGTGCAGTGGTTGAGAGTCCGCCTGCCGATGCAGGGGACACAGGTTCGTGTCCCGGTCCGGGAAGATTCCCACATGCCGCGGAGCGGCTAGGCCCGTAAGCCATGGCCGCTGAGCCTGCGTGTCTGGAGCCTGTGCTCCGCAACGGGAGAGGCCACAACAGTAAAAGGCCCACGAAAAAAAAAAAAAAAAAAAAAAAAAAGTCAGTTGAAAACGGATACAAGCAGTATGGTAATGTTACTGAATTAGACGTGAGCCCCCCCCCCATTCTTGGTGCCTTAGCTGAACCTAAGCTCTCCCTTCCCCCAACCCCTATCAGACAGGGAGTTCCTTCCCACTCAGTTTCGAGCTCCCAATAATGAAATTGAGTTTGGTGCAAGCAAAACAGGTTTTTACCCAAACGCCAGAGAATGGAGAAGGGAAGCTCAAACTCTAAAAGCACCTTCTCCCCAAAGAGAGGGGAGTAAGGGAATTTTAGGGTTAGGAGGGAGAGGGTCATCAGGGCTCTAGGAAAGGGGCGGAGATTTCCAGGGGCAGCCAGGTCATGCGCAGTCGGCCATGTTCCTTTGCACGTGGAACAAATTGTGCCTAGCAGAGCACAAATCCCCGCTTTGGGTGGAGATGTTAGCAAGGTAATGAAGCGAAGGTAATGCTGGGACAGCCCCCTGGTTTCATCTGCGCAGGCGTGTTCCCGTGGTCGTCAGAGCTGGTTTGGGATGGTTGACCACTGTGTATCTCTCAAAGTACAGCCCGCGAAGCATGTCTGCCAAACACCAGGTACTTTTGAAACAAACACAGAGATAAATCTGGGTAAGTATCTTTCAGCTTTCAGGGGTTGATATGGAAACACAGATAAATCAAGGCAAGGAAAGCAGTGACCTTTAGCCTACTTTGCCCGTCATCTTGGACCTAGCTGGTTCAATCTGGTTTTGTTTCTGGCCTTCGTGGCATCCTGTTGATAAAAAAACAACTAACCTGTATGATTGAAAAAAATAAAAGTTTCCGCGCCTGGAGCCTTGGCTGCATAGCGTGGGTAACAATACTGCTTATGAAATGTTTTAAGTACACAAGGCAATATTATATATTGGTGTTTACCCACGTGAAAACAAAGTAATATTGAGCACCAAGAAGCTGCGTACTAACTTGAGAGTTACCTCTGGAGAAAGAGGGAGGACAATTGGGTTTCAATTTTATCTGTAGTTTTACTTTCTTTCTAAAAGGATCTAAGGCTAATGTTAACATTTCCTCCGTCTGGTGATGGGTACATTGGTGCTTATGACATTTTTATCTGTAACTTTCTGTAAGCTTAAAGTCTTTCCTAATTGAAATTATTTTTAATGGAAAGGAAAACGAGCCATGATCAAACCTGTCTTATCTTAGAGTCAGCTCTGGCTGCACCTGTGAGTGTAGAAAGGACACCCCGCCCACTCCGGTGTCCCCAGGACAGAGGCTTACCTTTCACCATCTGGGAGTTCAGAGTGACATGCTCCTCTGTACCCTGAGGCTTCCTGCTCGCCGCCGGCTCTGCAGGCTCCTTGGGAGGAGCCCAAGCTCCTCCCACACACGGGCTTGTGTGGGTCAGGGTCACTGTTAGTAAGGGCGGCAGTCCGTTCCGTATTGATCTCCCGTTACCCTATCCCACAGATTTGAATTCCCGTTTCCCACCTAGTGTCTCTGAGGCTCAGTTTGAAATTCTCTTCCATGAAATGGAAATCATGAGAAACTTAAGACAGTAGATTTGTTTATCCTGGGGATGAATTACAAGCACGTGGGGGCAATCATCCTCTTAGTCCTTTCATCTGAAGGTCAAGAAGGGTCATAATTTGAGGAGAAATCACCGTCTCCTCTGGCTCCTACAGTGGTTCAAGACTTCAACTTTTAACACTGGGTGGTATCCACCAGTTCTCAAAATACAGTGAGTTTAAGGCTGGGGCAGTGAAAATATGAGAAGAATGTGGAACACCTTTTTGTGCCAAGTAAGGATAGGCTCATGGACTTATGGGAACATGTCAAGAGGACCCAGGAGCCAGAATTAAGGGGTTCCCACTGAACAAGCACAGTCTGGTCATCGAAACCTGTGGAATAAAACAAAAACCCGTGGAATAAAACAATAACTCAAAAACTCTTCTGATACGCCCTGCTATCAGAAGAAAGAAGATGACTACTTCCCCATCTCTGCCGCACCGAGAAAGTCCATTTTCTTATTGACTGCCCTGAGTCATCATAGTGTTTTCAGTTGTTCCCCCTCCCAATGACTAGCACCACTGCACCCCAATTGAAACAAAAACTTGGTGGATGGACTGCCACTTTGGGGAGAGAAGGCAACGTGGAACTGTGGAATTCATATTACCTAGACTGAGAAATGGAAGCTGGCTTTGTGCCTTTCTTGCTGTGTGACCTTGAAAATCCCACATTCTTTATGCTCCAGTTATCTCATCTGTACAACAGGGATTCAAATTATTTCTCTACTTCACTGGGTGGTGATTAGGACCTAATTATTCACCACGTGAGAAGGTGCTTGTAAACCACCATGCCAGCAGACACTTCAGGGTATCACAGAATAAAGGGAACTTCTTAAGAAAGGGCAGGGGACGGGCAGCGTCGTCCATCTGCTGGAGACAGGCTAAGGTCCAAATTATTATTTTTTCAACTTGAATAATGCACTGAACTCTTTTTAGAAAAGTCTCAGACTGCAAGCACCGACTTCAGTGACTCTTGCTATTTCTTATACACAAAGAAATGTAAAACTAGGTTTTGATGTCTTATGTTTCTATGCAATTTATAGTGAGAGCATCATTTAGGAGCAGTGAGCTAGGATGTTCTGAATTGAAGGCCTGAGGAAAAGAGTGAAAAGGGAAGAGCAGGCTGTAGAAGGAGAGTGTCTGACGTCACCCTTGTTTTTCTCTCTCCCACGGAGAATATAGCTAGCTGTATTAAGATCAGTGCAACTGCTATGGGCTGAAATTCATGTTTTGAAGTCCTAACCCCTAGTACCTCAGACCATGACCATATTTGGACACAGGGCCTTGAAACAGGTAAACTGTGGCCATTGGGATGGGTCCTAATCTAATCTGACTGGGGTCTTTAAAGAGAAGATTAGGAAACAGAAGGAAAGAGGGAATACAGTGAGAAGACAGAGGAGACAGAAACATGAGGAAACAGGGAGAAGGCAGCCCTTTGTAAGCCAGAGAGAGGCTTCAGTGGAAACCAAACCTACTGACTCCTTGATCCTGAACTTCCAACCTCCAGATCTGTGAGAAAAAATACACTTCTGTTGTTTAAGCCACCCAGTCTGTGGTACTTTTTTATTAGCCTGGGCTGACTAATGAAATTACATAAAGTTCATAATTTTTTTTTTAGAAGCTGCTTTGTGCTTTGCTTCTTCAGAAGGAATACTATGTCAGGACAGAAGATATTGTTGTAAATATTTATGATTTGCATATGTGAATATTAATGATTAACTTTCTATGGACACAGGGTGGCGGTCAGGGGACTGGCAGCAGGAGTTGGGGTGTTTCACTTGTTTCTATCCTATGACGACTGTCTGATGGGTACAAGGCTTGGGTGCGAACACAGGCCAAACAGTGATGATCACATTTTAAAGGTTTCTTTCTAGTGTGGGCCATGCCACGCTGCAGTATATTCATAAAATTGAATACTCTACAGCCATTAAAATGAACAAACCACAGCCACGTGACACAACATGGCTAATCTCCCAAACATAACGGTAAAAAATACAAGTCACAGAAGAAGACAAACACTATGGTTTCATTCATATAAAATTCACAAACAGGTGGCTCAACTCTACCATACTGGGATGGATACCTAGGTCATAAAACCAGAAAGGCAAGCAAGAAAGTGAGTCTCCCGAAAGTGGGGATAGTGATGACCTAGAATTGGGGGGGAAGACATGGGTGTCAGGGAGGGGACACAGAAGATAACAGGGTGCTTACAGCGTTCACTTGTTGCCCACAGGGGTTTGCTTTATAATTATTCATAGAATTATGCAAATTGTTACAATTTTTTTCTTGTATAAATCACATTAAAAAAATGAGGAGAGCTGAAGCGAATATGGCTAATTAACTGTTCTGAATCCTGGTGGATCTGTGTTATGTCATTAATTATACTTCTCTGTAAGTTGTGAGGTTTGTTGGCATTTTTTTGGTTTTTTTTGTTTTCATATATTATGCCAAGTGAATGAAGCTAAACAAAAAAGAGTACATACATTGTACATGTTTTTGTGGAATTTTATATTCCATTTGTATAAAATTCAAGAAAATGCAAAGGAATCTAGAGTGGCAGAAAGCAGAGGAGTTGATTCCTGGCAGGAAGGGGGTTGACCAGGAAGGGGCAGAAGAGAGGGAGCATAGGAAACTTTTGGGGGTGACGGATGTGTTCATTATGTTGAGGGTAGTGATGGATTCATGGGTGTATACTTATGTCAAAATATATAAAATTACACACTTGAAATGTGCACAGTTTATGATACGTCAGTTATATATCAATAAAGCAGGTTTTTAAGAAAAACTTCCTTGTGCCTTTTCATATGGTTCAAATAGTCTTCAATATACATATATTGCTTAAAAATGAGGGAGATATTTTTTAAATAATCAGAGAGCCCTGAGCAAAGAACTTTGATGCTGTCTCCCAGGTAGTTGTATATGTGTTTAGGTCAGACATAGGATTCAATTATGTCAATATATTTTTGTTCTGCCTTTGATAGAAAAGGGGCCTCCACTCTTCTCTCTCCCCATTTCCCTTCTCCCTTACCCCTCCCCCTCACTCTTTCTCTCCTTTTCTCTTTGGCTCTCTTGCTCTCTCTCAGAAAATCCTTTTCTTCAGCTGAGCGCACGGCTTTAGAAGACGTGACAACACTTATAATAAAGATAAACGATCATTTCTGTTGCTGAATAGTGTTTTATAGTTTATAACATGCTGTCTCATATCTGTCTCATATCTGTCTTTTCATTCTCACAACAATCCTTGGGTGTAGCAATAGGAAAATAAAAGGCAACTGTAACCGCTTCTGCCTTCTAAGGAGGGTGGTAAATTTCATATCAGTGGGCAAATAAATCTCTTTGTTGCCATCCACTTTCAGAGACTGTCAGTGAAGACAGCAGATGAAAGATTCAGCCATTTCTTTTACTCCAGCTCCCTCCCTTCAGCCCTGTGATGGCCTCTTAGGTTTAATAGAATAATGAGTCATTGGGATGCAAAGATAGGTCCAGACCTGAGTTGGGGGTTGTGGCAGACATTCTGGTTGCCTACCCAAAATTTATTCTTCTCTTCTTACTTACACAGGGCCCTGATTTTGTTGGAGGTAGCAATGTGCCAACTGAAAAATTAGATTTCCCAGGCTCCCCTCCAGAGAAGAGTGCCCATGAGAGTAACTTCTGGCCAATTGAATGAAAGAATAACTATAGTATGAGACTTCTGGGAATGCTCCCTGAAAAGGGCACTGACTCTGTTGGCAGGCCCCTTATTGGCCTTCCCTCTTCCTTTACCTGAAACATGGATGTAATGACTTGTGCTGCAGCAGTCATTTTGCAGTCCTGAGGTGATCTTGCTTGAGGACAGTAGGCTTGTGCTAAGGATGGCAAAATGGAAAGATGAGAGGAGGTTAGGACACTGATGAGATTGTGGCACTACCTTACCAGCCCTAGAATGCCTACCTCCAGACTTACATGAGAGAAAAATTGTAACCCTTATTTAAGGCATTGTTTTACAGGTCTCTGTTGCAGCAAAACGTAGTCCTGAGTGAAAGGGAATTGATGAGCTATGTTACTCTGTGCTTTGAAATGGGGGAATTTCTGGGACGAATCCTACAGAAGGGTGCTCTAAAAAGAAGGGGAAACGAGCAACATGGTGACACAAACCTCTGTTTCCTCAAGTTTCATATAAAGTCTGCTGTACGTATGTAGCTGCCGTGTGTGCAGCATGTGAGGGGAGGTCAAGGAGAGGGGGTTGTGGTTCCTTTTCAATGTGGCATGAGAAGGGACAGCAGCTGTGAGGAGGCAAGTTGATCCTTCCACCAAGCTAATTCCAAATAAACAGGATCTCGGAGCTAGAGGATGAGGAAACATTAACACTTCCCTTTTATGCCAGAGAGACCGCTAAAGAAGCTTATCTTACTGCACGTGGGGTGAGTTTTGAACCAATACCATCTGAAATTTTAAAATCTAGACTTGAATCCCAGCTCTACACTTATTACTACCTGTGTGATTTGGGGAAAAAACTTTAACCTCTCTGGGCCTCAATTTTTTCATCTGTAACAGGAGGGATTGGTCAAATTAAGTTCTAAGGTCCAATCCAAACCTTCTAGGAGTCCATTTAAAATATATCATTGGGGCTTCCCTGGTGGCGTAGTGGTTAAGAATCCGCCTGCCAATGCAGGGGACACGGGTTTGAGCCCTGGTCCGGGAAGATCCCACATGCCACGGAGCAACTAAGCCCATGCACCACAACTACTGAACCTGTACTCTAGAGCCTGCGAGCCACAACTACTGAAGCCCACACTCCTAGAGCCCGTACTCCGCAACAAGAGAAGCCACCGCAACAAGAGAAGCCACCGTAGTGAGAAGCCCACGCACCGCAACGAAGAGTAGCCCCCGCTCATCCCAACTAGAGAAAGCCCGCACACAGCAACGAAGACCCAACACAGCCAAAAATAAATAAGTAAATTTATACCAAAAAGAAGAAATAAAATATATCATTAAGGTAAAATTAAATCTATTAAGCACTAAATGAAAATTAATTCAGGTTTATACAAATATGTACTTCCTAACAATGAGAATCCACCGTCTCACAAGCCACAGTTCATAGGAGAACAGGACCTCCAGCTAGATGAGCCATGAATGCCTCATACAGTTCCTATACTGTAACCCTTCCCTTACTTCTGGCTCCTCACACCTAGCTGCATAGGTGCATTTACATTAGAAAATCTGCTTTAAACCTTGAAATTCATTTCCTTTAAATAAAAATGAAATAGACACAATGGGATATTTAAATACATTCTGGCACCACCCCAATAGCACAAGAATGTGCGACATGAAGCTGGTAACATCAGCAGAACCGGGAGGACTTTATTAAGCAAATCGGGTAGTTAAACACCCCAGGGCCTTCTCATCATAAATGCAGCTAAGCGGCCCCGGAGTAATGGGGATGGAGCCCCTCCTGAGCTCTAAGCTCTTTATTCTGACGTTTAATGAGCATGAATAACCAGGGATGGATGGTATTGTTTGTGAGTCCTCGTGAACTCAGGAAAAGGGTGACTTCAAAGGTTCCTTTGGACCATTGTAAAGCAATTATACTCCAATAAAGATGTAAAAAAAAAAAAAAGGGTTCCTTTGGGATTTTTGAGGCCTTGTCTATAAAACGTGTCTGAATTAACTGGGTTCTACCTCATTCTCAGGACCTTATCTTCAGCTGGACCGGACCCCCCCTCCCAGGAACTGGGTAGGCAGAGAGTCTAGAGCCTGAATCCTTCACCTGTGAGTATGTCATTGAGTTATTTGCTGACTTATCTTCCAAATGATCATTTGTGTCCTGTTCTCTGGCAGCCTACATTATTGTAGTTGAATAGGGGACAGCTTCCTGTTCCCTGCAACTGGAAAGCAGTTTAAATACATCACACCTGTAAACAGAGCTAATTGACATCTATAGAGTAACCCAAAGAAGGCAGGGATTCCCCAGAGCAGTGTTCGCCATCCCAGGAGGTACCCAAGCAGAGTCAGAGACCAAATAGAAATGTCATAATCAAATGGCTGGGGAGATGAGAGGGCTTAAAGGACTTCAGTTTTCTTTTCAGTCCTAAAAGTTGGGGATTCTGTGACATATAGGAGCAAATGCTACTCAGTGTGAGTAATACTACTTGTTGTTTAAGGCTAATTACACACCAAGCACTGTGCTGAATTCTTCACTTCAGTTGTTTCATTTAATCCTGACATATAATAAAAGGCAGCCCTGTACCCCTTTCACATGGTACTATATCTGAATATCTGCAGACGAGGGAACTGAGGCTTGGGGCATTGGAGAAACAAGATCCCACAGCCTGTATGTGCCAGGCTGGGTCTGAGGACCCCAGAGCCTGTGCTTTGTACCTCTGCGGGTGCTTCACCCATACAGGGCCAGAGGATGCAGCAACTAGCTCATACAGGAAGCTTACTGGGCCCCACCCAGAACCATGCATCCTTCTCTAGTCACCGTTTTTCAAGGGTCTGTGCACAAAGACAGAGGAGAGTCTGGGGTGATGGAGCTGGGAAAACAGGAGTTTGAGGCTGAAAGGTCAAAAGGCTGCTGTACTGAGACCGTGAGAAAGGTGATCAGAGGGTAGAGCACTGGAGCTTTGGTTTCCTAAGAGGGGCGTTCCAGGGAAGGCAAGTTCTAGCCGAAAGTGTTTCTGTACCTTTGAGCCACAGCCTTAGTTCCTCTGAGAGACCTTGGCTGGGTGCAATGCTTGAGGCCAGAGCCAGCCCCTATTCCCCTCCGCACCATCCCAAACCCCTCCTGGCAGGGAGCCATCATCTCTGAAAACTGAGCTGTGCCCCTGGAGCTCCTCCCCACCCCCACCCCACCCCCGCCAGGCTGTTCACGAGCCCGTCTGAGTCACCTGGGGCTCTCTGGCTACTTACCCTGAGATTAGACTCAGTAGAAGGTGGGAGAAAAATTCAAGAGACTTGGCATCGCCCCACTCACTCTCTCTCTCTCTCTCTCTCTCTCTCTCTCTCTCTCTCTCTCTCTCTCTCTCTCTCGCCCTCCCCCCCCCGCGTTTGTTCTCAGAGAGGCCCTGGGAAGAAGGATGGTCACTTTCCTTTTGCCCACAGATAATTGAAGAGAAGTAAGAAAGTACCTGTGTTTGAGGGAAAAATGACAACAATTAATCTCTAAGCACAGGGCCTCACTGTTAAATTCGTTGGAGAAACAACTTCAGGAGTTTAACGACAATCGAGAGAATGAAATTTAATTAAGAGAAATAGTAATTAAATCAGGAAAGAAGTTTTTGCAAAGGGGATGGTGCAGGAAATTAAAACCAGTAATGCTGAAAAATGTGGTGGGCAGAGATGGGCGGTGCACTTGGTGGAGAAGAAGAAAGAGCAGACTGAGCAAGGCGGGTTGGGAGGTGCAGAGTGTTTGGCACTAAGGCAAGGTCTTTGGAAATTGGTCTCCTTGAGAGACCAGGTGTCTGGCTCTTCCAATTTGGGTCTAAATAGGCCACCTCCTAATGGGGACAAGCTCTCCCTCAGGAAAATAGAAGTATCTAGTTGGATAAAGTATTAAAAAAGCTGTGGACTTGAAGTAGGGTGACCAGGTGTCCTGATTTTGCCCAGGACCGTTGCAGTTTTAGTACTCAGAGTGCCATGCTCTAGGAAACCCTCAGTCGAGGGCAAACTGGGACTGCTGGTCACACAAACATAGAGGCAGATAGCCCTGGTTCCCAGCTCTGCTGTGCAGTCAGGAGCTCCATGACTCTGAGTGAGTCACTCCATCTCTGTGGGCCTCAGCTTTCTCACCTATAAAATGAGCTGTCCTGGGCACCTCAAAAGATTAAAGAAGTTGCTATATGTCAATGTGTAGAACAACGTGCATGAAGAAAAGCTTGATAAATGGGAGTTGAGCTGAACAATATCAATAAAGAAAACATAAAATATTAGCAGACACAACGCAACAACACATTAAAAAGTAAAACACCGTGACCCTTTCAGGGATTCCCCAAGACCACCCACGTGTTCGTTGATTTTCTAGAATGACTCACAGGACTGAGCACATAGTTGTACTCACAGCATGGCTCAGGTTTATTACAGTAAAAGGATACAAAATAGGATCATGGAAGGAAAAAGACACAGGTGAGTTCTGGAGAAATCCATGCAGGCTTCCTATACTCTTTCCTTCCTGTGAGGGACACATCAAGCATGATCCTTTCTCTAGCAGCGAAGAATGCAACCATGTGTGTGATGTTTCTGCCCAGAAAGCCCATTAAAGACTCAGTGCCCAAAGATTTTATTGGCAGTGGTTGCCTAGGCACAACTACCAAAATTCCAGACTCTCAGAAGGAAAGCTCGTGTACAGGAGAAATCACATCATCAATCAGCCTTAAATGCCAAGTCTGCAGACCACCAGCCAGGGGCCAACCTCTAAAAATAGCAGTGTTCAGCCTGCTATGTTAACTCTTTTTATTACAGTGACAGAGTGGAGCTCATTCTAGGAATGCAAGGATAATACACATAAGTGAAAACTTGAATCTGGACACCCAAGCTGCTGTATATACCCTCAAATCCTAGCTAGGTGTGCCAGGCCTTCACTGGTCCAGGCTTATGGTTACTGTATGAACGCCATCCACTCTGCTAAACAAGCTCTGGTCACTACCAAATTCCCTGCCAATAATTTACCACCAACCAAGGTCTTCTTGGTCTTGAGTCAGAACACTGGGGTTTTCTCAGTTCACCATGACATAAACAAGTCTCTGGACTAAACAATCCAAATAGAAATCGTGCTCACCTTGTGCATGAAATAGGCCATATTTACACTTACACTAAGGCTATCCACTTCCAGTGACCCAAAATGCTTGTGTTTCCAATTTGGGGCACCACCTTTCTCAAGGTTAAGTTACCAGAGCAATGAATCAAAGTTTGCTGATTTCTTGCTCAGCAGGAGAGGTGTTAGAAAAATAGAAGTCATTCAAGCTAGTGGTGGGGAAGGGTTTCTGGAGTTTAGAGATCAAGAGGTACCACAGCTGCTGCAGATGTGAGAGAACTAGGAAGACAGGAGGGAGGGTGGTGGTTAAAAACATTGCTGAGAATTACAGACTAGCTTCCCTTTTAGTATGTATTGGTTTGCTAGGGCTGCCATAACAAATACCACAAACGGGGCAGCTTAAATGATAGAAACATATTGCCTCACAGTTCTGGAGGGTAGAAGTCCAAAGTCGAGGTGCTGACAGGTTTGGTTCCGTCTGAAGGCTCTGAGGAAAAGAGCCTGTTCCAGGCCTCTCTCCTTGGCTTGTAGATGGATGTCCTCAAGTTCACAAGGTGTTCTCCCTGTATGGCTGCCTGTGTCCAAACTTCTCCTTCTTAGAAGGATGCAGTTCATATCAGATTAGGGACTATGCTAATGTCTCAGTTTAACTTAATTACCTCTGTAAAGACCTCATCTCCAAATAAGGTCACATCCTGAGGTATTAGGGCTTAGGACTTCAATATATAAATTTTGGAGCACACAATTCAACCCATAGCAACTTGGGAAAATGTAAGTGAAAATCAGAATTACTTTTAAATAACTTTCATTGGAGGATTGTGTTTCTTTGCACAGTTTATTGTACAAACAATAGCCCAGGAATATTCAAGCTGTGTAGAACAGAAGAGAGTAATGGGAGGGTAGAAGGGAGGTGGAGGGTCAAGGGAAGAGGAGAAAGAAGAAAACGAAAAGAAAAGGAGGAGGAGGGGAATGGGAAGGAGGAAAAGAGGAAGAGCAGTGAGCAAGGTCAGACCATCAGGCCTGCACCAGGTTCAGAGATCGGTGAGAATGACAGCTCACCACTCACCTAAATTTCCTTTAATTTCGGTTTACTAAACGCACCAACAAGAAGTGCAAAGGATATGCACACATCGCTGCAAATGTTTGCTGGCCCCTCCCACCATCACTTGGGTCTCATAGAAGTGTTCGCAAGTCTGGTGGACCTGACAGCTCTCCCACGGTGGGACGTGTGCCGGCTAGAGCCTTTTACACCATCTGGATGGACAGACGTGGGGGAGTGCCAAGCCAGTATCTAATGGCCCACCCAGTAAAGGAATCCCTGCCAGCACAGTCGTGAAAGACTTGCAACACCTTTCATGTTTTTACTGCTTCCTGGAGCTGACGGAAGGTTTCAGTGCAGCAAGGCTACCACAAAAGGAAGTCTGACAAGAGTTTGTTTTGCTCATTCAGGCAGCACATGCTCTCTGAAAAGAGGTACTGCCTTGAGTCAAAGAGAAGTGAAGGGAGAACCAGGGCTCTGCAGGCTCTCAGGGCCTTCCACTCCACTGCCAGCTGACCGTGCGTACCACCAGGTCACAAATACACAAAATGCAAAGCCACGCAAGGCAGGTGGATTTCCCCAGATGCAGTGCAGAGACTTCAGAACAAATAGCACCATAGTTAAAGCTTCAGAGAGAAAGGGGGACAAAATTAACACACTTGTACCTGAGATGGGCCGGGAATAAACCCCACTGTGTGACTTGTGTTTTAGAGAGCTGGGACGCCCAGTCTGGGGCTAGCCAGATCTGCCATGGAGCAGAAGCAGATTATCCTGAGGTGATTCCAGTGCATGCTAAACTTTGAGAACCCCTGTTTAAATTCTACAGCCCAAACCAGTTTAGATAGGGCCCTGGGAGAATGAGCTTCCGTTTTCTTCCCAGCAACTACTGTCTGTTAGAACAGCTTGAGACCATAGGGATAGGCAAGAACAGGATTTACCACCTGCATCGCCTATGACCAGCGTTGATAGGGAGGAAAACAAGTACTTCGCAGGGCTAATTTAACCCTCTTATGTGTAATTCAAGTTCTTCTCGTGTCTTCATTTGCTTTGTGAGGTACAAACTTCCAGCCCTTTACCCAAATGGAGTGATCTAGACTGTTTATGACTACACCTTTGATTTCTATTCAGTTAATTTGCATGTTTTATTTTATCTTTAGCATGGGAAGGAGACCTAGTTGCCAGAGCGGCCAGGAATAGTATTTAAAAGTTTAGCCTTTACTTTAACCCTGGTTGGTCAATCTCGCTGTGTTCTTGGCTCACCTAACATTTGTGGTCACAAGAGTGCAAAACAGTGCAGTTCTGCTGGCTGCTTCTCCCTATTTTGTCTCTCCGTCAAGTCTTAGGAACTCATTGACTTTCTCCTAAATTTACTAACATTATTCATTTTATTTTTACTTGCTGCTTTTACTCCTCTCCCTTTCATTAACACTGCCCACTGAGCAAAGCCCATCACTTGGTTTACCTCGTTCCAGAGTCTAGCCTCCAGAGAGGTCTGCTGGGTTATGCAGAGGCCCCAAATAGCGCTCACAGTGCAGTTCGGAGGTGGAGCCCTGGCCTGGAAACAGGAAGCCTGGTTCTGGCCTCTGCTCTACTACAGACTTGCTGCACAGTCTTGGGCAAGCCCCTCCTCTCTAGGGCCCCAGAACTCTGTTGTACAATGGGGAGAACACAGTGAACTCTCAGCCCTTCCGGCTAGAGTATCCCAGGGTTCCCCAGTCTTCCTCTTGTTATACATGTGGCCATACAGTATAGATTTCCTGGAAGGTAGTTCCAGTTTTGCAATCCCTGGCACCATTGCCCACACATCATGAGCATACTGGTTCTTAAACTGTGGTCCCAACTACTGATTTCACCAATAGTTGAGGGGCCCTTGAGGGGGGTCCCTGCCTGGTTTCTCCATAATCAACAGTTATGTAGGACTTGTAGCCCCAGTAGCCCCAAGTGGGACTAGGATCCTAACATCCAAATGCCTAGCCTTTTTAAGCAATGAGTCACCTCACCAGGTCATTTCTAAAACCCCAGCAGAAAAGCATATCACACGGTAATCAGTGTTTGTTGAATGAATAAACAACTACACTTTCTCTACAAACACAAGAGTTACATAGACTGAACAAAGCTCAGAACTGAAATAGAGAAACCAATTCTTTCTGCGGAACCAAAACCTCAAACTGAAGCTATGTAATGTCTGGAGTACACCAAATGATGGCGCTTTTCTTGCAGTTGTGTTATTTTTAAAGCTCTGCGTGCAAGCTCTATTGTTGTGACACCCTTCCCTAGCCCTCAACCCAAATACTTAATAATCCTATCTATGTGACTCCAGTGGGTAAGTCAGAGATCTGGAGTTAAATCCCAGCCCTTCCACTTATAAGCTGAGTGGTTTAAACTTCAGTTTCCTCTTGTGTAAAATGGGGCAAATAGTAAATTCCTCATTAGGTTGTTGATTTAACAAGAAACCTACATCTCCAAAATTACTGAGAATAAGCACGTGTTAACTCTTAGCTAATTAACAAAGCAACTCTTGGATCTTTCTTTTCATTTAGTCTTCCTATTTGGTGGGAATTATCATATCTATAGTCATTTACAGCTAAGGAAAATGAGACCCAAAAAACAGAGGTGAGACACCCATGATCTCACAACTGGTAAATGGCAGGGCCAGCAGTTGAACCCAGGTCAGAAACACTTCCAAGCCTGGAAGATGGGGTCGTAAGTGCAGTAAGTTTAGACCTCCTAGGAGAGTCAAACAAACTTGGTCCTGGGGGCTTCCCTGGTGGCGCAGTGGTTGAGAGTCCGCCTGCCGATGCAGGGGACATGGGTTCGCACCCTGGTCCGGGAAGATCCCACATACCGCGGAGTGGCTGGGCCCGTGAGCCATGGCCGCTGAGCCTGCGCATCCGGAGCCTGTGCAAAAACTTGGTCCTGGCCGAACTCTCCTCCTGCAGCACTTGAGGGGAGGGGCAGTGCAGCTCTGGAGTTCCTGTGCATAGGAACACCACATACTGTACAGTATTTCCTGTTGAATGAAGCCAGCTTTGTAGACATTTTCATCCATTTTAACTTGATGCCAACATTTGCATTTCAGAAGTTTTTTTTTCAATTCTTCCTATGAGGACATTAGCACCTGGAAAAAAAAGTGGAGTCTAGACTAGGACAGGTGTGAAAACAGAAGGTATATAACGTGTTTCGCCTCTCCCAGGAATAGATCTTTTCTCGTCTACTCTTTTACTGGAATGTGTTCAAGGCACTGTTGGGCCCAGAGATCTTAGTCTTTCCATCCCTCACTAGCCTCAGGGACTCTTGGGTGCTTTCCCTAATATGGTTGTTCCCCAGTGACTTATAAGGCTCAGCTCAAATTGCAGTTACAATGTAATTCACTTTCCCAGTTTTAATCACTTAGAGCTTCTATTCAGCATGTGCTGGCTGTGTCCATTCAGTAATGGCTAGATTTTAGCCCATAGTCAAGGGAGCTTGAGGATTCTTTGGGCCAAGGTAGCCTCAATGCAGGTCAAGGTCTAATTTGTTAAGTTTTTGAAATTACTATAAATGGCTCATGATCCCCTAGGAAACAACAGTCTAGGAATCCCTATTTAAAAAGAAAGGAACATAAAATGTGATACATACATAAGTGGAATATTATTCAGCCTTAAAAAGGAAGGAAATTCTGACATATGCTAAAACGTAGATGAATCTTGAGGACATTATGCTAAGTGGAATGAATCAGTCACAAAAGGAAAAAATATTATATGGTTCTACTCATATGAGGTACTTAGAAAGTCAAATTCATAGAGACAGAAAGTAGAATGGTGGTTGCCAGGGGCTGAGGGGAAGGGGGAGGGGGAGTAGAGTTACTATTTACTGGGCTTAGAATTTCAGTTTTGCAAGATGAAAAAGAGATCTGGAGATGGATAGTGGTGACGGCTGCACAAAAATCTGAATGTATTCAATACCACTGACTTGCACAGTTTAAAAACTGCCAACATGGTACTTTTTATGTTATGTGTATTTTACCACAATTTTTAAAAATTGGAAAAAAAGAAAAAGAGAGAAAAAGGAACAGCTTGAACACTAAGACTCTCAGCTATGGTATTAGCATTGTCTCATCAGAGCCAAAAACAGCTACATAATAAATGTTGTACATTTTTATGCCCAACCCCCAATTTTCCTTCTGCTGAATGAAGCATCTTGCTCTGCCACTGAAAACTAGCATTTTCTTATAAACCACTAGCTCAGAAAAGTCAGTGACTTTCAGCAATCAGTCCACTAGAGACCACTGCTAAGCAGAGGAGGCTAACAGCAGCACTGTGCAGTGAAGAGTGCTCCCCTTACAACCAAATGGCTCCAAGTGGCTTCAGCTTCTCCCCCAAAGAAAAACAGACCCCTCCTGCAGAGGAGCAGATTTCTTTTCCAAATTAAATGTGTAACTTTTAACTGTTATTAGTATTGTCAACATGAATATCAGAAAAAAATTCTATTATAGATACTATCATCTTTAATTTCTTGCAAATGAAAATTGAGACTTTTTCCTCTGACTTTCAAAATGAAGATACTTATTTCATGCAATAATCAATTCCCAAGATCAAAGGGAACCAGTTTTTCATCATTTTTCCCCCAATAATTTGCCATCTGTTAGGATTTACAAGAGCACACTCACCCATATATTGCCGTAGGAAATCATTTTTAAAGATACATACTTTCACCACTTAGATTTGGCACTTTGGACCTAAAATTACTTTTCAGCCAGGATTTAAGAAAACACTTATGAAACTGTTGTAGAAGTTTTTTTTAATAGGCTTAGAGAAAGATGTTTTCCAAATTATTGATTTTTTTAAACTAATACACCTCTTCATCATTTTGTGATTCTGCTGGACAACTAGGGCGTTTTAAATGGATCTCAATCTTTAAAAATTGTGGCTTAGAGTCCTAGACTCCTGGAGTGCGCACCTTTGAGCTATTCTTGGTATTTCCTGTGGTCTACCAAAAAGTGAATGCTCATACCCAG